ATGCAACTAAAAACAAGTAGTTGATTAGTAGGACTAGATGTTTTGTATGATAGTCTTCGACACTGTTCATTTCATTTGACATATTCTTCTATGTTTCCTTCTTCTTCTTTTACTTTATTAAACCATCAAAGTTTACTGCTTGACATGGTCTTCTCCCGGATATGAGTTTTATATAGAAGAGGGGGAAACCAGGATGCGGCTCACCTGATGGGTTGCAAAGAGGATTACGTTGCAATTTATGGAATGGATGATATCAAATTACTAAAAAATCGACAACAAATTACTAAAAAATCGGAGCACACATGGTCATGTTCTTATTTCTACTATTTAAGCCATTTGTCTTCCTACCATGCCTACCGTGGCTTCAATTGTGAATTATCATTAAGTAATCAGCGGTGTGCTGTTCAATCGATTTGTGTTATCACATCGTAATTTTTACAAACGGTAACAACGCCAAAATCATATACTAATCATAGTTTCTACACCGTGCATGTATTAGTGGTAAAATTTTAGTGTGAAAGTAACGGAAAACGTGGAATATATTAATTTAGAAATTTTATAATAATTGTACCATTATATTTTTTTAGGTTTTCTTTAAATGTTTGAGTATTACACAAAAACAAAATTGTAGCTATATTTTTGTCAAATATTAGCACATCTACTACTACTACATACTACACTACTACTAGTGTCAGTTATATATCTACAAAATTATTCTGCCAGAGACAAATGATACGGAAGAAAAGTTCTCGAGTGGCAGCCGCGTACCTGTCTACAGGCCCCCTAGATAGAATAACTTTCTTATGAGTTATTAAAATTTCCATTAAATTTAAATCACGTATTTGTTAACGTAGTACTTATATTATAATTAATTTCCACTCTTTAACAACGAAACATTTGTAAGTTCACTCGACAGTAATATGTTAAGTCAAGAAGCTTCTAAACCACAAACATACCGGATTCTGTGTTACGAGAATGTTTTAGTTGTGAAGAAATGTTTACTTTAATATTTCAAATATACAATTTTAAACATATGTAGTTACAAAGGTTTTTCATTTTTATTTTGTTTAATGGTAGCTGAAATGTCGGATCTTTTTTTACAAAATATTAGATAAGCACCCATTAAAATATTATACTACATTTCTAAAGGTTGCACAGAAAGTTTTTTGCTTGAGGGTATTGTGGATAATGCCTTATTAAAAGATATGGGCAAATTAAACTGGAAAGTTTTATGGGTAGCATAAATTAATGTTGACGTTACAAAAATTCTGAATTCCTAAGCTTTTCCTCGTCTATTGCTACTTGCAGTCGTAGAAAGTTGTTTTATGTTTTGTTAACAACAAATTAAAAATATATAACTTTCTAACACTTAGTAAACCACTAACTGAGTAAAGTTCTCCTGTAGTGGAATCTATATGATTTATTGTACATGACCTTTATTAATGTTCGTTGACCACGTTCCAGTTGTAGGAGTTTAGTTTTCGTAGTACCACTCCAAACTGGTATACAATATGTTAAAATCGATTGGGTAACATATATTTGATTTAATAGTTTATGAGTTGCGACATGTCTGAGGGTCTTAAAGATCCAAATAAGTTTTCGTAATTTATTATTAGTTGATTCCATTTGTGAATGCCATGCCATGCCATGCCATGTAGGTGTTTGTTCTATTATAACCCACAAATATTTAGTACTAACTACATTTTTTATAGTAGGACACGTGCAATTGTTACGCAAACCACAGTTGTGTAGTTTGAGATTGTGTGTTATGGGTTGTGACCGTTTTTGTATGGAAAAGCATATTATATATTTGTCCTAGACGTGTTAAGGATAAGCAAGTTTATTTCGAGGGTAAGCAACTTATTTAAGGCAATGTTACAAAATATCTGTGAATGTTTTATTATTAACCTACACCTATTATTACTTAGTGATCTAAAATTAATATCATCACGCTATTACTTAGATGCGGTTTCATTAGTAACAGGTAAAGAACCTTTGTCACTTCTTACTTTGAGTTGTCGGTTCTTCAAGCTATGTGGCTGGCCTATTGCTACTTGAGCTTACATGCCCGTTGTTTTTTGTAGGTTATTCTGGTTTTACTACAGCTATCCTCGTTTCGAATTCTATCACACGGATGTTTAAGGTGGTACAACCACGTTGCAGCTATATTATAGTTGCAGCACGAATAGTTCGGCTCCACCAGGGAAAGAACACAGTCTCAGAGAAAAGTAACGTAAAGTAGCAGCTTAATGCTGCTGTGTTTTGTGTGTTAAGAAATGGAGTCCTTTTTTTCTGGCAGCAAGAAATGCTATCTTAGACCTCAGGGATGACAACGCATCTACATTTTGATTCATGTTTGAGGATAAATGTAGATGTCTATGCGCAACAACTTCCATGAATGTAAATTGTGTGATTGTTTGAAACCATTAGTCTATGAAAAAATAGAGATAGTCCAAACAAAGGCCTCTCCGAATCAAAACATTTTTTCTTCTTTCTTTTAACAAAAAAATACTAAGCACTCATAATAAATGAATATGAATGAATAAACATAATTGTACACCACAAACAAATATACAAATTACATAACAAAAGACAGATTAAATGTACAATTTGGCGGCCTTATCACTACATAGTGATCTCTTTCAGGCAACCAAGGGTGTAAAGGAGTAAACAATGAATACTAGGTAGGTGGTGCAATATAAGTATACAAAATATAATATCAATACTTGCGATATATAGACGATAAATGCAATAAAATAACGTATAAATAACTAATACATAATAAATGATAAAGCATTTAATATATATCTACATATACAAACATCATCATCATCATTATCATCATTATCAGATATAAATTCACCCGGCCTTAAACATATATGCAGTTGGATGTGTTTCGTACTCTCCTTCTGTACTCGGCTAGCAATTGTAGCCCTACTATATAAACACTTTAGCACTTCGATGTATCGACGGTCAACTTGGCATCGCTGAAGGCTGACTGTAACACCGCCCAAATTTCGACGGAATCAAAAGCTTTCTCATAGTTCACATACACAAGGTAAAGTGGTAGATTGTACTCTTCGGTCTTATGTACAATTTGCCGAAGGGTATGTGTGATCTATGGTACTAAAATCTTTTTGGCTTGTTTGAGAGGCTGAAAGTCGTCAAGACTGTGCGCAAGACGATTCGTAATGACTCTCGAAAACAGCACGTAGACGCGGCTCAGAAGGGAAATCGGTCTGTAGTTCTTCAAGAGAGCAATATCGCCTTTTTTGAAGAACAAGACCACCGCACTTCTGCTCCACGCCTCCGATGTAATGCAACCATGGAGGACGGAATTAAAGAGCTTCTGAAGGACTTCAAGTACCCGTTTTCCACCCGCTTTCAGAAGCTCCGCTGTAATTCCATCCTCACCTGGGGCCTTGCCGTTTTTAAGGTGCTCGAGAGCCATTCTAATCTCGCTCAGACTGTTGTCCGGGATATCATCGGAATAATGTCGGATAAGACTCGCTCTTGGATCGTTACTCACACTTGCCTGTGGCTCCAACGATGACGTGTACAGCTGCCCATAGAACCTCTCAATCTCACTCAAAATCTCAGGTGCCCCGGAAACGATGCTGCCACACTCGGTCTTTAGCTTCGACAGTTGGCTTTTTCTGGCAGACAGATCTCTGGCAAAGACGTTGGAGCCTTGGTTCCGCTCGATCGCTTCTTCAATACAAGCTGTATTGAATTTGCGTAAGTCCCGCCGCATGCATTTGGAGATCTGTCTGTTAAGTTACCTGTATGCTGTCAAATCTGTTGAAGAATGTAGCTTCATCTCCCGTCTAACAGCCATGAGATAAAGAGTGTGATCGGAGAGTTTTTGTGTTCTTCTGCGGCGGGTCTTGCAGAATTTAGCTCCAATCCCATGGACAGTTTCCACAAGCTTGTCGTTCATATCGTCCACTTCATTGCTGTTTTCTAGGCACTGAAAACGGTTTTGTAACTCGAGCTGAAAGGTTTCGGGACTTTGGATCAGAGCATGAGGGAGGACGGAGCGTTGACTTCATTAGACGAGACCTCTCCAACTTAATCTTTATGTTCAGTGTGCCTCTAACCATTCGGTGATCGCTGCCGGTTTTCACCCTCGCGATCACTGAGACATCACTGAACAGTTGTCGTCTGGTCGTCATAATGAAGTCAATCTCATTTTTTGTCGAACCGTCGGGGCTCGACCAGGTCCACTTCCGGAAGAAAGAGTTTTGGAAACAAATTAAACAAATCTACCCTTTTTTTGTTTATCTTGTGGTTTTATCGCCATTTTAAAGATTAGTCTACAGATAGAGTTATTTGGAATCGGTATATTAGAGGCTTTAAATTATTCAAATTGTTATCCTTATTACTTAAAATTGCTGAAATAAATTTCTTAAGGTAAATTTTAGTATTTTGTGCTTAAAAAGATACCTTTGGATGCTGCTGGAGCTACTAGAGCTGTAGCTCTAACTGATGAGGGTTTCAGCCAGCGGCGAATTGCACGAACACTTGGTGTTCCGCGTACAACGATACGAGACGCCATCCGGCAGTATTAAGAGACTGGTCGTTACACACGGAGAACCAGTCAAGGGCGACATCGTTGCTGGTCAGATCGGGACGATCGTTTTATTGTCAGTAATGTGATATGAGATCGCTTTAGTACAGCGGCTGAGGTTCGAAATCGTCTTATTGAAGTCAGATATGACAGTGTAAGTGAAAGAATAGTAAGAAGACGGTTAGCTGAGAGAGATCTAACAGTATTTCGCCCAGCCCGCGCTCCAGAACTCCTCAGATCGCACACAACAGCCAGGTTAAAGGATCAATCTAACTAGTCAATGCAGAAATGGAAGAATCTTTTGTTCTCAGATGAAAGCAGAATTGCTTTAAGAGGTCTTGATGGACGCCAGCGTGTGTATAGACGCCCAAACAATAGGTTTACACCGTGTGCAATAATAAAAACGGTGGGATATCAAGGAGGCTCAATTATGGTATGGGGAGGCATCAGTTACGAGGCTTATACTGACCTCTTTATCTTTGACAAAGCTGCAGTAAATCTTCACAGGTACATCGAAGAGTTTCTGCAAGAACATGTCATTCCTTTTGCCCCTTTTATTGGCCAGAATTTTGTTTTGATGCATGATAGTGCTGGAGCCCTTGTTGCCCGTAGTGTTACTGAATACCTGAATGAGGTCGGAAATCAAACATTGCCGTGGCCCGCACGCAGTCCCGACCTCAGCCCGATAGAACACATATGGGACACGACCTCAAAAGATGCATTAGAGCCAGGATACTAGCTCCTGCCACCATACGAGAGTTGAAAGCAGCTGCAGTAGAGGAATGGCACAATATTCTTCAATCTGATTTCCAGGATATTATGGATAGGCTAACAAACCGGCTACAAGAAGTCATTAAAGTTATGGGAGGCTATATTCAATTAAAAACATTTATCAAATCCTCTTTTGTTACCCTGTATTTTTTCTTTGTGGATTAAATGAACAGTTATTGAGATTTTTTTACTTAAATATCCAAGATTTAGGCATTTCAATCACTTTAAGGCCTTAAGCTGAAACTGCATAAAGAGGGTTATTATAATGTAAATGAATATATGGTTGATATTAACACCTGGGAATAAGGTAGTCGCTTCCAAGCAGTTTCTAAAATAAATTTTGTAAATAGTTTGTACAACAATTCATGTAAAATTTATTTAAAAAAAAAGTCCCGCTGGGTTTCTTGCCCATTCTTTTCAGGACCGAGGTATTTTTTCGAACCAGTGGTAAAGTAAAACATGTCTTTTATTAAGAATTACACATGTGATCTTTATTGAATGAAAATTATTCTATTCTATTCTATTCTATTCTATATTAAATATTTTACGCGCCAAAATGTTATCCATATTCTGGAAAAAGTAGAAGTCTGTAGGCGCAAGGTCTGGCGAGTACGGCGAATGACGGAGAGTTTCCAACCCCAGCTCTTGTAATTTGGAGATCGTCTGTTGTGCAGTATGAGGTCGCGCGTTGTCGTGCAGGAGCAGCGGGAACGAGCAACTGACCAAAGCTGATGGAGACGTGCGAGCTTCTCCATCATTGTGTTTAGTTTTTCATAGTACACATTTGCAGTAATGCTCATCCCGTTTAGTAAGAAGCTGTGATGAATCCCGTGTAGTGGCGACCCCGTATAGCCGCGGTATTAGAATGTCCCACTACCCTATATATTCCCGTGTGTGTCGTAAGAGGCAACAGAGGGAAACTGGGACAGAATTTGCGCAGCAGCATATGCGGTTGCCAACACGCTCGCCAAACGTGGCATCTATGGTAATATACCTCCATGACAATAGTAACAAAAAGACGGCCCAAGCTACACGGTGGCCTCGCTATTCCCAGCTACGGTGGCGACCTTGGTAACGGTATGGTGGGGGGTGCTAAGAATCTACGGTGGAGGTTCGGTTGTCACCTAAGACGACTTGACCTGGCAACATACAACGCACGCACCATGAACTGACTAGAAGGTCCTGGAGCTTGAAGAAGGGATAGACAAGTTACGCTGGGATATTATAGGATTATCTGAGGCCTGAAGAGCGGGGAAGGAGACGGTAATCTTCGAATCCGGCAACTTGTTCTATCACCGGGCAGGCGAGTATCTGTCCCAAGGAGGTGTCGAATTTATCGTCCAAAAGTCTCCCGATAACAACGTGGTAAATATTGTGAGTATGTCGGTGTGGGTTGCGTACCTTATACTCAGAATCACCAAATGGTATTCGTTGAAGCTCACACAGGCTTACGCACCAACCTCGGCAAACAGCGATGAGGAGATGAAGGAAATGTATGAGGATATCTCTAAAGCCATGCATTCCTCCAAAACCAACTGTACGATGTTAATATGAGACTTCAACGCAAAATTAGATACAAGAGATAACGGTGAACAGAGCTGAAAATTTCGAATAGAGCAACGGAACCCAAAGAGCCAGCAGCTGGCCGACTCTGTAGAGAAAGTGGGACTCTTTATGATGAACTCTTTTTTCCAGATGCGGCCCCCCAGGATGTGGACCTGGTCGAGCCCCAACGGCTTAGCAAAAAATGAAATTGACTTCATTATGATGACTAGACGGCAACTGTTTAGTGATGTCTCAGTGATCGCGAGGGTAAAAACTAGTAGCGATCACCGACTGGTTACAGGCACTCTGAATCGAAACGTTAAGTTGGAGAGGTGTCGTCTAATAAAGTCAACGCTCCATCCCCTCCTGCTGTAATCCAAAGTCGCTAAACCTTTCAGCTCGAGTTATAAAACTGTTTTCATTGCCTAGAAGATTGCAAAGCTGTGGACGATATGAATGACAAGCTCGTGGAAATTGTCCATGCGGTTGGAGCTATGTTTTGCAAGAAAAACTGTCCGATCACACCCTTAATCTCATAACTGTTAGACGGGAAATGAAGCTGCAGTTTTCAGTAGATTTGAGAGCTTACAAGCAACTGAACAGACAGACCTCCAAATCCATGCGGCGGGACTTACACAAGTTTAATACTGCTCGTATTGAAGAAACATTCGAGCAGCAACAAGACTCCAAAGTCTTTGCCAGAGATCTGTCTCCCAGAAGCAGCCAACGGTTGAAGCTGAAGACCGAATGTGGCAGCATTGTTTCCGTGACAACTGAGATTTTGAGTGATATTGAGAGGTTCTATGGGCAGTTGTATACATCATCGTTGGAGGCACACGCAAGTGTAAGTAGTTGACTAGACTTGCAGGAAGTCGGTGGATGCAGGTGGCTCAGGACCGTGCTTTGTTACATTCCTTGGGGAGGCCTTTGTTCAGTGGTGGACTTGTGAAGGGCTGTAACGAGGATGATGATGATGTGATTAATCACATCGATGAATGCCACCAAACAGTGACTATCACTTTTCTAGGGGTAAGTTTTCGCTTAGGGCATTGTTTAGGTGCTGAACCGGGATCCAACCAACTTTCTGAACGCTGGCGTTTATCAAACAGTATCCATTTTTCATCGCAGGTAACAATGCGTTTCGGAATTACCTCATTTGCGTACCTGTTGAGCAATGCAAGGCACGTCTCGACGCTTACTTCACGCTGGCTATCATTGAGTGAATTTGACGCAAATGGACCAATATTGTTTTGGTGCTAACTTCAAAAGCTGCTGCTAATTAAGCCGTAGTCAATCTACGGCTGAATTAGCAGGAGATTTTGAAGTTCATCATATAAATATCAATCAGAATATCATCAGCTTCCACAATCTCCTTTAATTCGTCATTGTCGACCAAAGTATTTAGACTGTCACGAGGTTCATTTCAAATGAAATCAAAGTCAATTTCTAAAAATATTCAAATTCGTTGAAAACATAACGCTAATCAATAATTAAAAGACAAATTTTTAAATGAGAATTCCATGTTTTAAAATAAAATTAACTTGAAATTAGAATTCTTAGGCAAACAAAAAGTATTTTAATTTGAAATTTCTTGAACTACAGAACGTCAATTTCATTGATAAAGACTTTATATCAACCATTGGTCGAAGAGTAAAACGGAGCAAGAAAGGTGCGAGCCGTCTTGTACAAAGATTGTTACAGGAAGTAGGATCATTAATTATGACATTAAATCTACTCAAATATTATACGTGAAGGAAAAGTTAGCATATTTCGTGCACGAAGGAGTGTAAGATTTGGCAAAGCAACAGTTTTTATAAAGAAGAAGTGCAGGCGACTAAAATTTAATATATACATAATATAAAATAAAATAAGGCATTCATTGTTTACGTTCATACTACCAATGTCAATTTTTAAACTCATAATAAGCAATGTTTTCTGGATGGATTGATTGTCTGGACTGATTGGATGTCTTGCCTAGGCTATATCATAATGAGATAACACTTACTGTATCTATCCATATCTTACCTATACATTCAAAGAATAAATGCTTGCGTTCATCTAGATAGCGAGATCGTTGGCATATCTACTACCACAGGAGGTGGAGCTACGAAGTGACGGCGCCCGCGTTCTCAGTACTTCTGAATAGTCGTCAAGAAATTATCATGGTCAAGCCTAGGTAAGACATGAAATATATCGTTTCCTTGCCTTCGGGGGAAAATATTGGGAAAACATTTCATGGTCTATGCCATCGGCTTGACCTTAATGAGAGGTTTTTAGTTTCTGACGACGCAATATAGTTTTAAAATAAAATAAACATGTATATAAATCCACTCTGTTCTTTATTAAAAATTTAGACATTAAAACAATCTAAATAGCTTTAAAATTGGAACAAGCTTACTCATTGACTGGGTGAATTCCAGGTGACTTTTTAATTATCTCTTTAAAGTAGAACTTAAAATTGATGTTAATTCGTTTCTTACCTGTCTTGTAGAGGCTGACAAATCAATCAGTCTTTTCGTTTAATATATGGAATCTAGAGACTTAATGGAACCGAAATGGAAAATTAGATAAATGGCAACCTCATTGGCGAAAATTACTCTTATCCGTTTTCGAACCATAAACAGGTCAAAAGGTAACATAATCCTCACACAGCTTTAGATGATCATCATCAATTCTTAGAAGAGTAAGATCGTGTATTCTTCTACTCGATACCATCAAAATAATCAGTGCCACATGGCGGGTTAATTTAAACAGACTATCTTCATTAATAACTAAGGTTTTCATTCAGGCTATTAGCTCTTCGACATCCCAGATACATTTCTTTGGCAATGCAGGAATATAATTCTCTATTGCTTGAATAATATGTTTCACTAAAGGGTGACTGGAAATTTCTTCCCTTCTTAAGGGATCAGCCAAAGTGGACCACCTAACAGCATCTCGAGATACATAAATCGGTATAACTTTCGAGAAGGCAGTTGCAAGAGGTTGATCCGAGGATTCCCCATTTCTTGAATAGTAGGTTATCTGATTAAATTACTACAAGTTGCCCTCTCAGTTGAGCTAGCGTCAGTTGCTTGATAAATTGCGTATAGCTTCTTGCGATTTAAATGCCACAGAGTTTGACTCGTCTTCCACTGTCTGAAGAGTCTCTTGTTGACCTGGACTCCCCAACCCGTATCTGAAGCATCTGTTGCCACAAAGATCGTTACGAGGCTGGCGAAGATATATCGATCTTTCTGAAGGTTAAAAGGAAAGGATAAGGTATTTGTGTTATGTTGCTGCATGTTACAGATGTCATGAATGTAGCCTTCCTAGAAGGACTGTGAAAGAAGCAAAAGCTAACTTCCCGACAAGAATTTTTCCTCTGACCCAACTCCAGGTTCTCTAACTTGTTATTTGCTCTAGATCCTTTTTTAATAAGGC